ATGAGCATTTTTTACTGTTAAAATAAGAGAATTAGTTAAGATGCACTTGAAATAAGACAATGCATTTTTTTATGTTATATGTCAATTGTCTTGTTCCATTGTTCCAAATGTTTCACTTCCCTCCTAAATTCCAGAAAACAATATTTTAAGCAAAAATTATGATTTAGATTATTTAGATTTAATTTTTTGAAGTGCACAAACCAGAAAGCTTTTCATCAATAGACCTTCAATTTGACCTCGCTAAGGGTTATAAACCTTCTGTAAGAGGGTTGCAATTTTCTTTTCCAAATATCTGGCTTAGTAACATCTCCAATATTGATTTAACCAGAAAAAGATGTGTTACCTTAAAGCATGTACAAACATGGGTCTTGAAATGGAGAAGAAACAAATTTTTTTAACTGATTTGTTGTTTTTTTCCCCACAGATTCAGATCATTTTTTCTTATAAAATTAGCATACTTCACTTTATTTGTCAATTTCTGTAGTTGTTCCAGAAATGAAATAAAAAATAAATAGAAAAGAGATAAAAATAAACTAGGGGGAATGGTAGCAAAAAACAAAAAAAATTAAATCAAAATTAGCTGGATTCTTGGCAGCAACAGTTGTACTAGTTTGTTTTCATGACTCTTCATTTTAAATTCCACCTATAAATGCTTGGGAAGAGCATGTCATTGGGTTCTAAGCAGAACTCAACATACGGTATGACCACATAACCTGATAAAACCATCCAGCACTCCTGCTTTTAGATATTTCACCTGGAGATAACTTTTAAGCCAGTGAACTATTGCAGCGTCTACTAAATTATTATACTGGCTACCTAAATATATCATACAAGTACGGCTTGAAAGTGCGGATAGGAAGCTTGGCACAAGGTTAGTTTTGTGTGTTTTTAAAAGAAATACTGTAGATAAACATGTAAACAAAGACACTATCCCCGACCTCGCTCGAAACCTTTCTCACAACTGGAAAGGCCTTTAAAAATAGAACACACCTGTACACAAATAGAAGCAAATATATAGAAAATACATTTACACGTGTATAATATACAGCAGGTTTCATAACACTCTGATAGAGAAGGTAAGATTCTTCATTCAAAAAATATATGTTGTGTTTAAGAAGCAACACAGCCTGTAACACGATTGAGGCTGAACCAGTGGGTATTTTGTTGGAGCTTTTTTTCATGTTGTGAAATGGGCCGAAAGGAGGAGTTTTGCACCACAGTGTTGATCCCAACTCATTTTTACACCACAGCAAGGGCTTGTATTTACCCACAAGGCGTTTTCACACATGCACTATAGTCCTGGAATGTTCTAGAGATTATTTGGCAGGATTTGTGTCAAAAATCCTTCACAGACTGTTTAGGCTACCTTGTAAAAAAAAAGAAAAAAATTTAATTAAAATAAAATCTGGAAGAACAACTAGTGAGAAAATGTGCAAACACAGCAAATGCATCTATTTTCCTGGTGACTGGTTCTTCAGTTTGATGCATAAAATCATGGAAAGGTGATTGTAGTTGTAATTTCTGCAGAAAATTAATTGTAGGGATTTTTATTTTTCATGTTTGGCATATTCTACTGAAAACCTATGTGTTTCTTTGAATTCTGTCCTGCTCACAGTTTCCCCCTCTCAGTTCATTACATCTTCAAAATACATTTTCTATTGTGGAATGCTTATGTGAAATCCCACAAAAAAAACACATTCTCTGCACAATCCCCAAAACATCTTAAGTCAGTCATGTGTGAAAACAGCCTCATTGATTTTACTCTGCCTGTTTCCTTGGTACATTTTAGAAATTGAGTAACTAAATTTGTGTATTACCAGAAATAAATTCTCAACACCCAGTGAAACAGTTTAAATCTGTACATATTGCTGTATGCAGCCAAATCTGTTTTTTACAACTACATCATTTTATTTGTGCTTTGTACAAACCTACAGCACAATTACAGATAGATTATTGGACAGTTTCACAAAAGCTTCAGAGCACAAAGGTAATCAGAGCTTGAAGTTTTAATAATAATAAAGACATTGGTGCTATAAGGCTCTTAGGAGAGCTTAACTATTCTTCCCATACAGTTCAGTTGTTTTAACTTCAGGGACTATTTCAACAAATGTGTTATCGTTTTTTTGGCTTGTCTTAATCATATTAATTTAACAAAACAATCAGCATCAGATTTTTTTTTTATAGGATTACCTCTGATGTAACTGTATTGTTCTCTTCATCCACAATTGATTGTGATAAAAACTGTTGCATTTCATTTGCTTTGGCCAGGCTTCTTCTGGTGGAATACAAGTGGAGTCTACAGACAGTTGCTCTTTATAACAAAACTCATAGGGAAAATGCTGAGGATTATTGTGCCTGAAAGGAGCGTGCCTTTGTTGCTTTCTTGCTAACTATTCTTAAGCAGAATACTTCTTCATCCAGATATAAAAACAAATTATTATCATTTTCAGCTTTAAAATAACTTTTTTTCATTTAGAAAATTTTTAATTAATCTTCTAATCCAAATAATTTCAAGAATTAGATTTGTTTGTCTAGGTTTTAAGTAAAATATACAGATAACAGATGTACTAAGACAGTTTGAGTGTCCTGTTAAACTCCCTGCAATTTCTTTTGGCCCTTTATTATCCAACCAGTTGAACCTCGGGCCTCATTTATAAAAGATTGCGTAAGAGCCATAATTAAAATGTATGTAAGCCAAAACGAAAATGGCATATACCAAAAAAAAAAAAAAAAGACATATAAAACCATGCAACTACTTTCCAGCACAGAATTTCCCTTTATGTGTAATCTTTCCTCCTCATATCCTGCCCTTTACAGCCCCACATTAAGTGATAAATGATCAATGCAAAGGACCTCATGAATGTTCATGTGTATTCAAATGAGCCTTCTTACCAGTTGAATTTTATGGTTAAACATAGCGAACATGGAGAAAAGAGCAAAAAAAACTGTTTAAGCAAGTCAGAAATAGATATGTTGGTCAGTTAGGTGAAAGTTTGAAAAAAAAAATCATGTTTAGTAACCACAGTGATATAAAAAGAACAATACATTAACAATCTGATGTATGAACTGGTCATATTAGTAATGCCATCCAAAAAGCCGCCTTGCACTGGCTGTGATATTGTAGACCTGTAGAACATTTTATAGAATTATTTTGTTCCTAAAAATGGTTTAAGGCAGAGATTTGATAAATTGTTGATTATATATAATACTTTGATGAATACCTTTACTTGCAAAGGAAAAATAAAAAAAAAAGTCGAAATTCAACACTCTGGATGTCTATAGGATTTAGTAAACATTTTGGCTACAGTACATCAGCTTATCATATTTAGATGGTTCCCTATATTTCTATAGATAGGTAAATATCTTTTATCTGTAATAAGCTATGACATGTAGCTAAATAGCGAACACTTTTTTTTACTCATATTAAATATATATTTTATGAAATATTTTTAATATAATTTATATTTACCACATAGTGCTGGTTATTCATATTTGTGTTTCTTTAGAACCAGCTACTCTTCAATTTTTTTCTACATTTGTGTCTTTTTGGTTAATACGTGATTACCATTGATGAACATGCAAAGGTCGGCACAAATATCAACAAGCAATCCTCTGTGGGCTGGTTCCTCAAATCTGGTCCTTAGGGTCCATTGCTTCTCTTTCAACACAACTGAGTCAAATAATTAGGTCATTAGCATGACTCTAGAGAACTTTACTTTACACCGAGGAGGTAATTCAACCTTTGGTTCAAGGCTGGAAGCAGAGACACATCTAAAAGGTGCGAGACATTGAGAACCTGAATTGAGGAACTGGCTCTAAGGAGTACAGGGACTCATCTTATAGGTCTGTCATAATCATTATCGGGGAAATTTTTGTGATCTCTAAAAATGCTTTCCCTCTTAATTATCCGATTTGCAGGGTTTTCCAGCATTCCCATTGCACCCATTGACGAACAGCACACCCGTGTTTAAATGTTTACAGCCAGCAGTGGGATTTTCAAACACCTTGTCACAATTTATGCATTAATTAGATGTACAAATCACTCTGGTGATCATCTGTGAGAAGAATGAAATGGTGAGAAAAACATTACTATAAATAATAGGCAGACTGATTAAAGATTAAAGCTGGCTTATAAACCTGTTTTTATCTATATGACAGGTCCCCATGTATAGTTATGTCTGCCTCACAAGCATATCTATTACTCTGCAGTTTTTAAATGCTAATGATAGAATCAATCTATGATTACAGTTTTATGTGGAGTAAAACTGAATGTCTAAGAGCAATCAAAACGCAGTGAAGCTTTAATTCCCCACATTGCCATCTGTCTCCATAACAAGCATATGCAGGAGTAAGAGTTGCCATGAGGGATGCTTAAGTTGGATTTTTTAGGGTATCATGACCTTTACATAAAAAACTACTCACACAAGATTCAGGTTCAAGAATATGTTGTGCTAAACAACCTTTATAAATGAGACCTCTGGTGTTGTTGCATGGGCCATCACCACATTCGGAATATGTTTTAATTAACCTTACTTAGACACATACGTCACATAAGAAGCAGTGCTATGGGTATTGGGCTTGTTTGGACCAGGTGTAATCATTTTATCTCTCAACGGAGGCCTTGTAACAACAGAGCTACCTCTTCATAGAGACTTACTTTGTCAGGACTGCAGCAGGCTCTTTCTAGATGTACAAAAATAGACATAACTATTCTGGTTTTAAAATGGGACTTTGTACAAATAAGATCTTTAAAGTCAAATTTCCAATAAAGCATAAACCACCTACAGATTTATTTTCCAGCTCTTCTTTTTTTGATTTGTAGAAACATGTTTTAGACTCTTTTTCAACGCATTTCTCAAAATTACTTCAAAACATTTTCAAATACATTTATAGTTGTTTTTTGTTTTTCTTTTTACATTTCGTTAGAAAATGACAAAAAAAGAAAAGAAAGAAAGCAATAGGAGCTCATACAGTATTATTATAACACACTTTGTTTAGTCCTTCAGTTTGTTTTTTTTTGTTTAACCTCCTTTTATCCAGGTAGTGGCACATAGTGGCATTATTGGCACATTGTTCAGAAATACAGTTTGTCTTCCGCCTAAAGCAGCTTCTTGGGCTCCTTTACCTAAAGTCAAATATTTTCCATGATACATCTTTGATGTCCGTAGTCTTGTTCCATACATCCTGTAAATATATCTATCTATATATATATATATATATATATATATATATATATATATATACTCTCTACCTAAATGAATTCTGTTTCTCAGGAAAGATGGAGGAGCGGCTCAACAGCTGTTCACCTTGTTTACTCTAGAAAAATAAATATCTTCAAAAGTGTCCAAGTAGAGATTACACTATTTTACAAAATTTGCTGTTTTTGTGAGTTTGTCATTTCCAGCTGGATCCTGTGAAAATGCAGAAAAAGGAAAATAAAATTCAGTTACTCTTTATTACAAAGTCATTCAACACAGACATTATTTATTGTTAAAAATATCCCACTTTCTAGTTGCATTACAGGGTTGGTACCAAATCTGGTATCATTACACAACAAAATATGCACAGCATTTAAGTAACATGCAGTAATCAGAAGACAATATTAAAAAAAATAATCAAAAATAAATACACAAGGCTGCAAAGATAGTGAGAAGTTTTGTATTTTATTCAAAACGAAAGAGCATGCTGTGAGAAACTGAAATTTCCAAGTGTAACAAAAGCAAGAAAGGAGAGCCTCTCTGTTTTACATGCTGTTCATTCATTTCTCTAAAAATCTGGTTCAATAGCAGCTTTTCTTTTATGTTTCCACCAACAGTGCAGCGCCAAAGCATTTGTTTAACATTTACATTTTAAATTCTAAATGTCGCATAATTTGAAGATCAGATTTGAGGGCAGAATTAAAACAAAAAACATTAATTTGAGTTACAGTTTTATGACAACTAAATGTTAAATATCCTTAAGGGAATAACTTAGATAAGGTAGAAAATGTTACACTATTGATATACCATACATTTTTCCACCACCACAAAAAACCCAGTGGTCAATGCTGCCACCACTGTGTATTATTGTGGTTCCATCATCATAGAACTATTAGGACATGATCTTCAAAGAATCCAAATAAGGAGCGCTATAAAGCCTGCACAAAAATGTTTGCAATGTTGCGTGTTGTGATTGCTGTGCAAATGTTAAGAGATGAAAATAAGTTTGATTCAGCTCTATAAAAATGAGCAGATTGCTCTTGTCACTGGCAGTTTAACATTGGCTAAAAAGAGAACAGAAAGATGATGTTCTAAATCACCCAGTCAGATGTAATAATGGTAATAATTCATTTTAAAAAATGGTCATACAAAATCCTATATAAATAACACAGTTAGCACAAGTATCTCAAAGTGCTGTGTACAAATTCAATAAATAAAATAAAATAACAGAAGTTAAAGTAAATTTTCTTTTTAGAAATTTGGACAGTTTGATTAAATAGTGCTCCAAAGTTTGGGTTAAGATTGAAAAAAATCATTCCCCACATGGTAAGTATTTACATTTTCATCTCCTCCACCCATAAATGTTCACAGTTTGGTTATTAAAACAAAATTTGGGTGTTGATGAAGTCATACACAAAAATAGATTTGCACAGGCTGCCTTTTTTTTTGCACATACAGATTGATTAACGCCTACTTTTTAGTTCTACTTTGTGCTCGCAAACAAGCTTGTATGTGTTTTACTATGCATAAACCTCTGAAGATTAGGCCCTTAAAGTTCTATCAAGATTTTACCTGTTAAGAACAAATTCATACATCTGTGTTCTTTTTAGACTGAACTTTTTTAAATAGTATTTCTTTTGGTGTTCATTCAACAAAAGCTTTTTTCTTACAACACTTTTACAGACTGCAAAAACAATCTAGAAATTAGCATAACATACTCAAATAAAGCGTATTTACCCTTAATTTGAGGAGGTAAATAAGACAATTTGCCAATAGAACTACTACATTTACTCTTAAAATGAGATCACTAGATAATAAGCACGTGAAATCAGACAATTAAATTATTGTTTTCTGTTATATTGAATGTAAATAGTCTTTTTCTGTTTGCAAAGTCTCATTCACCTGCCCAATTCAAGAAAAAATGCACAGCTTTTAAGAAAAAAATGATTCATAATTTTTGTAGTGTATAGACTAGATTTGTGGAGCACAAAAATAACTGCAGCTCCCTTAAGCTTTTCAACCCAAGGTGTGGATTTCTACAGCTCTTCCAGAGGTACTTTCACCACCTTGCCTTTTTTTCTAATTTATTACTGTCTCATGCCCCTCCTCTTAGGTGGACACTGTCTTCTGTTACTATTGCACTGTATTTGGAAAGGTGCTTGAGCAGTACGGTGTGATATATATATATATATATATATATATATATAGAGTTAAAAATTTCTCAAGCTCTATTCCTCCCCTCAAAGCACAAAATCCACAATTATGTCATATTAACAAACATATGCCAAGTTCCTCTTAAATCCCTAAGTGGGGCAGCATTACCATGGGGATCAATGTGGCTAAAGCTCACTCAACAGTTTGTAGAAAAGGCAATATAAAAAAAATACCCACCAGAGCGTGTATTTATGAAGTGTTTCCCAGTGAACGAGTAAAAAGCCCCAAGCTCGTCAACAAGAGATCTCAAACCATTTCTCTGACACAAAGGCCACAGGAATCAGTTGTCTTTCAGTGGGGGAGGGCCTGTTGGATAAAACAAACGCAGTTAGAACATTATGCAGATTAACTTTGGAGAGAACAGATTACATAGTAGAAGGCTTTTTTTTTTTACCCCAAAGACCTATAATGTGTGTCCTCTAATTATGCTCCTAGTTAGCCTTTAATGCCACTGTCAACATCCTAATGCTGTCACGTTCACATACTAAAAAAAAGCTGCTGGACTCATCAGTAGTGTTCCTGCTGAATCTGTAAAGCAGTAAAAATGCTTTTAGTGACTTGTGACAGCAACATGAAACCACCAAATAAATCATTTTCCCCTCGCTGCTAATTTACAACTGGTAATTTGTCATCATTTTTGGTCTTTTAGTTCATGATTTCACCTTTCTTCACCCAGACGATAAAACCTATCGATATACAAACAATTTAATGTTGCTTCTTCGCCATAATAGGAGCATGAGGGACATCAGGAGGAGGACTGCATGGAAAGCATATTTGAGTAATTACTTTTCTGATCTTGTGAGAGCTATTTTCTGAGATAAAGATTGATTAACACACAGCAACATTATTTAAATAAAATGTGGTCTAGTCTTTTTTTTTCATTTTATGATTTTTTTTATATCCAAGTAAAAGAGCAATAAATAAAAAGCTTCAGCCAAAAATGCCAATCTACCCAACTTAAAGGTCATTTATCAGATTTTACAACCACTGCACTATAACCTGGTGTAATAACACTGCAAATACTTATACTATTTATCTATTTAACAAACCAGAAACAACCCTTTACCTGCCACCTGTAGATAAGATACTATATATATATATATATATATATATATATATATATATAAGTCACCTTAAATCTCCCCTTTATTTTTACCATTCTCTGTTTATATCTGGATGCACTGTATACACTTCATGCGCCTTTTCCTCCTTTATTCACCTTCTGTTTGTTTATAAGAGCCAATGTCACAAATTAATTTCTCCATTGTCAGATCAATAAAGTTATATTCTATTCTATTCTTGTATTCTAAAATGGAAAGCATAAATGCATATCATATTGTCATCGGTTCTCCTAATTAATGATTTCTTTTTATTTTAGTTAATAAAAATATTTTAGAGTGAGTTTGAAAACTACAGTTGAAAATTGACTTATTTTTAATGTTCCAGTGATAGTTGCCAGTCGGTCACTCCAGAGAACACCAGTGGTGTTATATTATGTGCATCCAATATTATTTCTGACAAGCAAATGTAATTTTTCAACATAAAGGCATTCATCCACCAATCGTACCTGTTTCCATTGTAAGCTGTCTTATAGACGGGTGTCTGCTGGATCATCTCATCAGTGTAGATGGGCACAGCAGTCCGTACGCACTCATGTGAGCACTGCAGGCTGTCATTGTAGGCAGTGAAGATGTCCACCTTACTGGGCACACGGGCCGGGGTGAAGTCTGTCAGGTTCTGGCAGCTTTCCTCCTGCTGGTGGATCTTTCTCTGATGGCTATTGTGGCGGCCATTTCCAGACTGCGCACAGCTACAAAAACACGCACCAAAGACAAAAAACAAACATAAAATCATACCTTGCACCTATTGTGCTACTAAGATCAAAACAAACAAGGAGCTTCTGACAAAGTGCTGAGCATGAAAAGTAAAGGAATCTTTCCTACCAGTTTTTAAGGACGAGTGTTGTGATCAAGGCTGCGATCACCATGATGAAAGACACAGTGATTGTGATTATCTGGTGAACTGCCAAACCTGTAAGATAAACACATACAAAGAAAGAAATTATAGTGATTTGCAGTTAAAAGAGTTCAATTTGAGGTTTTCAAAGCTGCCAGCTGAGAAGGTGAAGGACTCTGAACAAACATTATTTAATTTAGATGTAGCTACTGTGTAAAATGCCCTTGTGTTTTACTAAAAAAAGAGAATCTAAATCAAATAGTTCTACAGGTGTTCCCCACTCTGAGCACCGTTATACTTTAACATTTGCATGCCTCAAAGGAGGCAGATTTTGCCTGAAGGCTTTCATTTATACGTTGACTAGAAGCAAATTTTTTTGATCCGATATATCAAATGAAATAACTGATCAAAAGCAGACACTGAAAGGTAACCTGAGTTCTTTGAAAATGGTGACAGATTGAAGAGGCAGTAAGGAACCAAAATAATTGATATTTGGGGAATTTGAGGAAGACAACAGCAAAATTTAAGCTAAAGAAAAAGGCAAAACATCATGGAAAATATGGAGCCATAACACCCTCCTTGGCCCCAGGAGGTGTGTTGGATTCCGGGACATATCTCAGGTAGATTAATTGGGCATCTCCTGAGCAACTGATTCTGGTTTGTTGGTGTGTCACTAGTTGACAGTTACTGATAAAGCCCTTTCACCATCCAACATGGGAAACATCTCATGTTGAATAGTCATATAATTACACGTAGGCTGGTTATGAGCAATCAAGAAAAACAAAATGTTTCTCTTACAGTTTCCAAAGTTACCTCATCCCTTCAGGATGTCAGTGATTCATTTAGTGATGGTGGTTTTTGACAGTTTTAAGTCTGTGAATACAGTAAATCATTAAAATCTAACAAGAAGAGTAAAACACTGGAGGTGAATATTCTGACCTCCAAATGTAAAAGCTCTTTTTCTGGCCAACATAATTCCTTGTTAGGGAATCAGCTATGCTAGATTAGGGATTTGCTTTAAAACTTGAAGAAAAGCAGTATAGTGGTGCATATGCATTATTGATGGTTTTATTTTATTAGAAGCCAGAAAAATATATTTGATTTCTGATATGCATGTGGTAAAAACAGATCCTTCTTAGAGCCTTTTTTCTTTTTCTAGGGCTGAAAGGTTTTGTCAAATTATAAATCATTACTTTTGTCAATCTATATTGCAATTGTATTTTGATTTTCCTCTGAACTAACCACAAGCATGTAGACACTCCAGGGTTCCGTTGTTGTTGTGGCCTTAAAAGCCTGCATGTCCAGAATCATTTGTCATACGACTTAACTGTTACAGTAAAAAGAGAGCTTCCTCCTTCTAGCATGCATATATCTGTTCAGTCTAACCTTTTGTTCAGCTGCAAACCTTTGTGTTTGATCAACACCTTTAGGGCTGGAGTAAGAAAGTTGAGATTTGATTCTTGTTTATTACATCGTGACCAAAATTGTGTGTCTTTGCACTTTGAAAATAGCATTTTGATTTACAGATGCAATTAATTGCCCAGCCCTAGTTTATATTCAACACTTTCAGCTGTTACAACTATTAGTGGAGTTTGCATTAAAGCAGAAATGTTGTGTACCTTTATAGAATGTATAGTTGACCTATTTTGAAGAAAAAATATTTACCTTCTGGATGTATAATTTACTTTTTATAAACATTCTGAGGATTTTTTAGATTATCTTTTTTTAGTTTGCGTGATGAGATGAGATTTTTTAACTGGGGGTGCGATGATCAAACTGTTAGCAAACAATTTCATTTTCTTATTTTTGTCTAATTCAGGCTCTAACAAGTGCTTAAATCGTTACTTTTGAAAACTACCTAAGGGTCAGTCGCTTGATGTAACCCTGTTATGTTAGCATGTTACCTGCTCATAATGTTATTACTTATTATAGAAGTATAACATATAATTTCCCCAGAGTGCAGCCAAACAAATATACTCAGTGAAGGGTGTTAAAACAGTCCTTTATTCCTCTCTAGTTGTTAAATGACTGGGTCTACACTCCTGAATTGAGTGTTTTCCATGTCCTCGGTGTTTAGAATGGCACCTGCATCTACGTAAGCATAGAGCTAAGGAGAATTTCCATACCATAGGTTTTGGTATTTTAGTGTCCAGTCTTTGAGCAATTATTGTGCTAATTTTTGGGGATCTAGCAGCCCTTTTTTCTGTGCCCTAAAGGTCCTGTCTGGGCTAATGAAGGCCCCGCTTTACTGTCATCAGAAACTGCCTGCTGGTCAGGAGTGAAGCTAAGATCTGTATCAGCTAATTTGCACATGCACAATCAGTGGGGAGGATCTACTGCCCATAGTGGTGTATATATATATATATATATATATATATATATATACATATACATAAGATGGCTGGATATATATATATATATATATATATATATATATATATATATATATATATACACACCACTATGGGCAGTACATCCTCCCCAAGGATGTACTGTACTGTATTTGGAGGCACTGATCCTCTTCCCGGCTGCTTCACACTATATATTTAAAAATATATGTTCCTTAGAATACATTAATACTTTGTCAAGTAATTCTGCTAACAAACCAACATAACAAAAAACTGCTTTCTTGATCTAATTGAGACTTCGAGCAAGGCAGGGCTTTTTTATTTGTACTTAAAAAATACAATACATAATTCCCCCACACTTTTTGAGTCCAATTTTTTGTGTCTGCTGCCACCCTGAGGACCAGCGTGGTAAAGACCGTAGCGCGAAAGGTGACTAGCAATGGGGTAATGAATCAACTGTGGCGAAACAATGTCATATCATGATGTTGAACATAGGAAAACGGTTTTGTTTTGTATTGTATTCCTGTACTACCACCAGATCAATCAGATTTTTAGTGGGGGGACAGATTTCTCTGAGGATTACAATCACATTTTCCACACTGAGATCGGAAATTACAGAATTTGTATCCAACTTGAACACCCCATTAGTCAAAACAAACCGATTGCATCATGCAATACTATGAGGTGCACCCAGGGACATAAATCAGAATTAACTTGCATATACACATATTAAATTACACTCTTCCATATAATATACTGAAAACCTCACACAAACACTAGTAAAAAGCTCTCACATAAACTAGTGAAAACATTTACCTCTTATATAATCTACTCAAAAGCTCTCATACAACTTTCTGTTTTTTTTTTTTTTTTTTTTTTATCAAAAGGCAGTTATCCACAAACTCAACTTTGTATAACGTGTTTAAAGCAAGGATTAGTTCAGGACCACTGCACTGTACTTAAAGGTATATTTGTGTGAGTGAGTGATAGAGCTTGAGAGCAACTAGGGCAGAATGACACACTGTAGCAGGTGACATACTGCAGCGGGACAAAATATATAAATAAAAAGAAAAGCTGTTATGATGAAAATGCCCATGTGGGCTTTATACATCTCACCTCTCTGTCAGCCAGCTGCCTAGCTGCTGATCCAAGCCAATTTGTCTTCTAAAAACGCTCAAAAGGAAGTGCTACTCGTTGGTTTTAGAAAAGAACACAACTTCTCCCCCCAGACTCCATCCTGCCTGGGCAGTCTCCACTCAGATAATAAAGTTCTGTGGGCAGATCAAGTCAATCTTGAATTAATGATAGCTCCAGTTGGTACTGGGAAGCCTCACCTTGCTTGCCAGTGCAATCAAGTCCCTTGCCATGACAAAAGCACATTTAGTTCTCCGGCACACCATCTGCATTCCAACAAACCACTCATCTCTTTCCTCCATCTCTCTCTCTGTCTAAGTTGTAATGTTGAAACAAGAAAAATCTGGCCATAAGTGAGCATGTGTTTCACTGAACTCAGTCAAAGGTCAGGGTGTCCACTGATGAGAATCTGTTTGTCCTATGTTGATTTCAAATTGAAAAGCAGAACCTTTCTAATGGTAGATTTTATATCAAAAACTGCATTTAGTGGACCTGCCTTGTAAAACTCTAACTTATTAGAACACATTATAGGCTAAATTAGTTTCTGCTTCAAGTTTCCAACAGAAGCTACTTTATTAATCTTGATAAGAGGAAGCTGACTGACACACTTGGTAAACAAGAACATTTTGTTTGCAGTTTAGTCAGGGTACTTAAGTCAGAGTAGATCATTAAGAACTACATCAGGGTGCCAAGTGGGGCCAAAATATGCATACAGTCTTAGTACAGTCCCTTAATGAAACAAATGACGCTGAAAATGCGAGTCTCAGCAACACAAACTAAATGTTTAGCCTCATATAACCCCATTTTTTAAGGCTCCATATTTAAGAGTTCTTTCATGGCAGAGGAGAGCATTCAAACATATAAGTCAGGAGGTTAATTCTGTTTTCATTCACAACTGCCAGTTGCAGGGAGAAAAAATTGGCCTGTGGATCTAAAAGTCATTTGGAGTTTGAAAGAACCGTTGCAAGCACCTGACTTTGAAAATACCCAGGAAGGTGTTGTTTGGTCAATTTTCTGTCAAAAGTAGAGAGATGGAGAGGCAGTTTGGATTGACCTGAGAAGAGGAAAGGAATCCAAAAAAAAACTGAGAGAAAGAACTGCCGTTCTGCTTGCATCACATTTTGTTAAAAAGAGTTTGCTAAAGTAGTAAACAAGAAATATATATATATATATATATATATATATATATATATATATATATATATATATATATATATATATATATATATATATATATATATATATATAGTATAAAAAACTGGGGTATAGTATAAAAAATGACTAACAAGCTATAGTCATATTAATTCTAAGCCTCAAAGTATTACATCTGTGAAGTTTTTCCTCTTTAATGCCTTTTAAGTACATTTCATGCGTACAGTTGTTTCATGATTCTCTGCCAGAGAAATTCAGATGTTGTGAGAAAACAGCAAAGCCTATTTGAAATGCACAGATTAGTCAGCCAGAGATCAGAATCTGCCAGTTATCGCTCAAAATCTTTAATTACCAAAACTAATCCTAAAAAGAAATCAGATCTTTTTTCTTCTGTTCATTAAATGCTTCTAAACTAAGAATCCCTATAATTTTAGAACATAT